ATTATTGGTACAAAGGGGCACCGAATACATATGCACCACAAAAGTCACTTGATTTGTGAGTGGGCCATACCCCGGAGCCTTCGACCTTGAGGTCTGATCCACAAGGCAGTGGAGCAAGTTTAGTATATGCAGTCGGTCCCATGGTAACTAGTGTCCAATAATTGGTTCATACCCCATTCGTTCCATTAGGATCCTTGAACCTATGTGGACCATTGGTTCGGAATCAGGGTTTTCCAACTGCCCTAGGTGGATCCTTCACATCCATCAAGCTGATTAGTGCTCCGGACATTTGCTTTTCTTCCTCTCAATTTCGTAAACAACACTGCCACTTCGAGAAGGCAGTGAGTAGGACTTCCGTAGCAGTGGTTGTATGCACGTGACCATGTGAGAGCATTTTGGGAGGGAGAGCTGACTCTCCTCACTCTCGATCTCACCAGGTCATCAGATAATTAAAAAAATCTCTCGAAATTGCCTGTTTTCTAATTTTTAGAATGAAAAATTAAGCTTATAGAGATTAAAGATCTAAGCACCATTTATTTGATAAGTAAGCGGAAATATTGAACTTTGTAGATTTTGTGGTGTTATGTGTTTACTTAGGTAAATGGTGTGTGAGTGTGTGTGTGTGTGTAGACGTATATATAATTTGAAGATACCACTTATTCCTAACTATCAGCTGATGAACTTCAGAAAATCGGAAGGCACTAGATAGCTCTTTGACCGTGACCCGTGATCTCTCAGGAGTTTCAGCTTGCAAACCATTTAACGCATAGATAAAGATGTTTCGGCATAGTGACATAAATATTATCACTTAATTTCGAAAATATAAATCACCGATAGCAGTTTTCAAATTCTATCATTCAATGATTCAAGATCATCTCAAGGCAACATCGTTCATAGTAAACGATCTTCATCCACATCTTAAACAGGGAAAGGAATGAAACATTCGTGAAACTATAATTTAAGCGACACTAAAGTGACCTTGAATACGTCCACCTAATAACTAGGATCAAATGAGCATTATAAACCAGTATGGGAGAATAGAATTATGATTTTGTAGTTGATGATTAAGGCAAGGATATAGATTTATGGGCTTTTCATCACGAACGGATATCCGTTAAAATGTCAAAACTCAGCTTATCCAAATGGATGAATGAATTTCGCGTCAAAATCCAAGATCTGTTATCCCACATTGAAAAAGCAACAAAGTTTAAAGGAGAATAGTGAAGTTTGAAGGTGAAATGTTTAAATAATATGAAAACGGAAGATTTTCAGAATGATAAGTAATAAGTTTAGCATTTACACTACTGAAGATTAAGTTTATCCTGGAAATCTCAATGTTTAAATCGAACATATCTCATCTTGATCCATCAACTCTTGCTTTACATAATATAGTCTATCTGAATGAATGGTCAATATCTAGGCAATATGATATAGATTACTAATTCTTTTCTGGTTATTCAGTTATTGAGTTTGACATGTATTGTGGTTCCACACTAAGTTACTATCTCACAACAGACCCGGTTGAACTCCACTGCTCACTGTTTCTCACTAGAACTCCAGGAAATACTTCTTAAAGCCAGTCACTAGTTAGCATATGATGATTAAAATGAGGGAGGGGTTTTGTGTATATTATAATAATTCAATAGTTGAATTCATAAGTCAATTAAATATAGACCATCATAGAAAACGTAGAAGCACTGGATGGCCGTTTCGTCATAGTATGAAACTCCTCAGCATGGAGGATCCATCTAGGGGAGTTAGAAAACCCTAATTACAAACCAATCGTGCACATGGGCTCCAGGATCCTGAAGGAACAAATAACATATGAACAAATCGTTGGTCATTGTCTACCATGGGATTGTATCTGTTGACGTCGATGCATTGCTTTGAGGATTAGACATTTAAGTTGAAGTCTCCTTGTGTGGTCCTTTAGAAAATCACCTGCTTCAGTTTGGGCACTCAGGCAGTTCCCCAGCACACATATTTATTTGATGTGTTTAAATAAAACGAAATGAAAATGGAACACTCATTACCTAGTTTGTGCTCGTTTGACACTATCTAACACGTCCATCAATCACAAAGTGATAGGAAAACTGTGGTCTTCATGCTTTGAGATACTTTTGTAAGCAATTCAAGCCATTGGTTCGAACTGAATTCGCTGGAGTTATTGACTTTGATGAATTATTATTGAGTTATCTGTTCATCTATTATGATTGGTGCTTAGATTTTCATAAGAAAATGAGGACAAAACCAGTGATACTCAAGTTTCAACGGCTTCCTAACAGATGACATCCCCTTCTGAAAACTATTCACATGTAGGACAATAAACACTTTCTTCGAAATTACATTATTAAGCATGTGATAAGTATTTGTTGCCGTTAGCAGTGGAGTTCAACCACGTCTATTGTGAGATAGATATCAACTCACTGAAGACAATGGTGTACGGTGGCGCAATATCGTGGATTGGTTAAAGCTTGATATTAACACCGATATGTGCCAGCCGCCTCAATGTTCTAGTTGGGTAACCGCGTGACGCGAGACTGACAGCACCTTGGTTCGAGTCTCGTGGGGTAATAATCATCATATACTCACTAGTGACTAGATTCAACATAGATCTTCTAAACATCTAATGAGAAGCCGTAATCAATAAAGTCAAACCCGAGTACAGTATAATACAGTTATCAACCTCAAACAATACATGAAAGATTGTTCAAGATCAAGGATCGATTGAAATTAAACATGAACACCATTGGATGCAATCGAGTTCAATGAACTAGAGATGAAGTGTTCCAGTCTGTTCATTGTGCAATCATTGATGCACACTGTTGAGGATTATATATGCAAGAATTGACGACATGTATATTATCAATAACAAGCAATCAGAAATGATCAAATTGGAGTCAGATATCAGGCTGTGATCTTGAGTAACCCTTCATACTAATAATGGTAATCATATGCTCACTAGTGACTAGTTTCAACATAGAATTTTGTAGAGTTCTAGTACATAACCGTGACCGATGGAGTCTAATCCGTATGCGAGGATGTCAGACAGTTATCCATCTCACACAATAGATGAAAAGTTGAGCAAAATCTTGAATCGATCGAAGTTAGATATTGACACCATCGGATACCACCGGCTCAATGGCCTAGAATTATAGCGTTGGTTCATGAGATACAAGTTCCTGAGTTCGGTTTCCATGTATGCATCCATAGATGAGCATTTCTGAAATGTTTCACACTAGGACAAGACTGCCGTTCAATACTTCCGGGTTTCTAATAGTGGTGTAGTTAAGTATGATTCACAGATTCAATTGTTAAAATTCAGAGGATATTATTATGATCTGTATAGACGAAAATACTTCAGAAGTAATGTATATCTATTAAACAATGCTTGGCTTGAAAAAATATGTATGTACGTGTATATGTTCTCACTTCACGATAATAATTGAACCACTAACATTTCTCAAATGAACTTTAAGCTAGACATATATATATATATATATCGTGGATGCGCACTGCTGAGGAGTCCCACAATAGGACGAAACGGCCTTCCACTGCTTCCAGGTTTTTCATGGTGGTCTAGCTTCAATTGGTTGATGATTTCAATTATTGAAATTACTGAAATCTCCACAAAACCCGTTCTGATAATATGTATATGTACCGTTGTATCTAGGACTTGAACTGCGTACAACACAACCACTCGAACGTTTGAACCCTTTATGTTATAAAGTAGAAAACAAAAGACGAGTAGGATGGTATCTTATTCCAAACAGTGTTAAATATGGTACAAAAACACTCGGGTATTTCTAGTACAGGCTGCAATAAATAAAAATATCTAGAAAGTGTTTTTCAATATTCAATATGCATTCGATCTATATACCACATGGATTTATGGACAAATAACATAAAGTGAGAATAATACACACATCATTATTCTGTAAGTGTTATTAATCCATTATAATAAATGTATTGCTTTGAGGGTAGACCAGCAAACTTAAACATGGTTACATTCATATATAGGAAGAGTATTTATTACCATAACAATAAAAATGATACAAAAGTTTCTAACATTATTGTACCTGGATCCTGGAGAATAAATTAAAGGTAAAAAACAACAAATAAATCAGTTTATCCTTACTTACTTACGCCTGTTTTTCGCAATTGAGGATAGGTTGCTAATCAGCATTTTGCAACCCACTCTGTCCTGAGCCTTTCTTTCTAGTTCTATCCAATGGTTGTTCATTGTTCTCGTGTTTATCTCCATTTCTCAGTGTAATGTGTTCTTTGGTCTCCGTATTCTTCTTCTTTGGCCTTGAGGATTCCATGTGAGGACTTGCCTTGTGACGCAGTTGGATGCTTTCTTCAATGTGTGTCCTATGCACTTCCAGCGCTTCTTCCGAATTTCTTCCTCTACTGGAATCTGGCATGTTTTTTTCCCATAATAGGTTGTTACTACTAGTGTCTGATTAGTTTATCCTATTTACATAATATAAATAATAGTAGTAGTATTTTCATCTAAAATAATCAAAGCAAAGGTCAAATTGATCATATTAAGTCAATAAATAAAATAATAATATACAATCGAAAATCAATAGAAATCAATATCCAAATCTTGTTACACCTGATCCATACAACAATTTCTCTTTATATATATCGAATAATATTGATTGATCCTTCTCCATTATTTATTTTAACCAATCAAATTAATCTTCACAAACAACCAATCAAATTATTCTTGATGAATAACCAATCAAATTTCAAGATATTCATTTGCTGAAATTCTTCGAAGAAATCGAAGAATTTTTTAAAATTTTTTTGATTTATACAAAAGAAAGAATTATATCACTTAACATAGAAAATCTTTTAGATTATTATGGATTACAACAAACATTGCCATTTCATAATATTACTCTTTTCTATCTATATATATAAACGTATACTATTCAATTGTTTCATGAATGTAAAGTATCTATTTTCTTTTGAAGGGATCTAAATAGACAATGTTCAATTATAATAGTTCAATAAGAATGATACAAGTGAATCATTCATTATTTTTTCCTATGAACAATAAAGTTTTAACACATTTTACAACGGAACCAGTTGAAATTTATTTACCGAGTATTATTACTTCAACTATATTACTTATCATTATTTCTATGATTGGAACAATAGGTAATAGTCTTGTTGTATGGGCATTTACAAAACAAGTTAAACAAGGTATTATTTCTGGCTTATTTATTCTATTATTGGCTTGTAATGATTTATTTATTTGTCTTATTGTAATTCCATGTACATTATATTTAGATATTTGGACAGGGGATACAACTGATTGGATATGTCGTGCACATTTAACAATGAAAGGATTTGTTGTACCTGTTTCAGCATGTATATTAATGTTGATAGCAATGGAAAGATTTTTATTAATCTGTTTCATTCCTGGTATACAAATGCAACGTACACATTTGTATTATCATTAGTCATTATATTTTGCATTGGTTTATTATGTGCTATACCAATGGGATTACATGTTCGTGCAATTGATTTATTTAAAGAACGTGATGAATTATTAGATTTAAATACATTGAAATATGGATTATCCACTATGGAAAATATTATGTCCTTTGGTCTGTCTACCCACTTTTGATGCTAAGGATACTTATCTAATCCAGATTAAGACCTTGGCGCGATAAGTTGACTGACCCAAACTTGAGGCTAGTACGCTTGAGTTCGAAGTGGGCTAGAGAGAAAACTATTCTGCCACTTGATTGGCTGACAAGCACGCGGATAAGAGAAGACAAGACAACTGGAACACGACTCGATCTATTCCCGGATTAGTGTAAAAAAGTACATGAATAAATAAGTGAATAACCAAACCACAACGTACAATAATTAGGAAAATGCAGTTATGTCCAAAGCTGGGGAGTAGATAATAGGGTGCAAAATATTATGTTTAAATTACAATAGCTTCGGAACAAAAAAAGGGTATGACAATGAATCACACATCGAACGAAAGCTCATGTTCTGTAGAATAAAATAGGGACAAAAATAAATGTTACAGTTTTACAAGCTTTGCATAAAATGAAATAACGTCCCGAAGAAAAATAGCTTCTGTAGTTTGTCAGGGCTTCTTCTTTACTTGTTCACAACATAAAATGAAGAATGGCTTGATCAATTACGTGTTTCAAAACGATGCGATAAAAATGACACATACATTAATGATCAGTTATACTGGTATCATCAAATTTGTGTACTCCTGTTATTTTTAGTATTATTTCTTGGAACAGCTGGTGTATATGCACTGATCTTTCTATTTGTCTGGAGGCATGAATCATTTATGTATGAGAAATATGGTAATCCAAAAATGAAAGGCAATTGGGTACGTATACATGCTACACCAAATTCTTCAGGTGATATAAATGAATCCAAATGTAATTCAATTAAGAAACGAATATCATTTCGTAAAAAGTTAAAAGAATCAAATGATTTACAAAATGAACAAGAAGATAAACAAAATTCTAGTGTCTTTGAACATGAAGAAAGACAACAATTGGAACTTCAGGACCGTCAACAATATGGACAGAGTTGCTTTGAACACTTGTCTAGTTTATCATTACCTCAACCATATCTAAAACAACAAACTTTGAGAATTCATCAACCTCTAACAGATATGACAACATCGACAAGTTTTGTCACATCTAATTTAGACAGAATAAGTTGTGTGTGTTTATGTGAAAGAGATAATAACAATGGATTGATTAAAACTAGTCAGTGTTCAATTCCTAAAGATAAACTATTCAATGACAATAATACTGATAAAGATAATGAAGAGTCAGATTGTTTAAAGCTACCTGGCAATAAGAAAACCCAGTGTACTATAGAAATAAATAATCCTCAATTATCAAGAATTGAATTGTCAGCAGCTAATCTAGAACGTAGACGTAAACCACATGTTCGTACAGCTCAAACATTAGCATTAGTTGCAGCAAATTTCATTATATCTTATACACCATATCTTGTTTATACAACAATGCCAATACAAAAAAGACAAGTAGTTCTTTTAAAAGATAAACCACATTGGACTATTCAAGTAAGACGTATACTATTTTACATGTATTTCATTAATTCTGCATTGAATCCAATCATTTATTCTTGTATGAATAGACATTTTCGTGTTTGTATAATAAAGTTTTATACAGATTTAAAGATAACATTGTAGTGTCGCTTGACATGTCAGGCCCCCATATTCCTTATTCTGGCTTTCGGACAGGTCAATCTACTCATTGTACTTGAGTCATATTTTTACCGTGTTAACTATTCGCTTACCAATCTTGACTGTTTTTATATGAGCGCATATCTGTGTGTAAATTTCTTATCCTATTCATCATATGTCTGTAACTTATTTTTGTGTGATTATACATATTGATTAACTCTTGGTTAAAAGGGGAGTTGGCTTCCTAGCCATCTCCATTCTGCGTCTTTTCTCTTCGTTCTGTTCCATTCGCTTTATATAAAAAATATGTGTATTCAAAAGTCCATTCTCGTTGTCTGAATCATTTAATTCCGTTATTGACTAACGCGATTTAAGTCGATGATTATATACGAGATTAGGCAACATAGATATATTCCAATAACAATCATTCATTACGATCACCTTGGAGTCAGATCCTGGGCCACTGAAGTGGAGAGCCCGTCGAAATACATCTTCTGATCTAACTGAGGACAAAATAAAGGGCTCCACTAAAAAAATTAAAAGACAAACATCTAAATCAATAATAAATGATACCAATCATGAATTGATTTCGTTGAGTAAAATATTCTCTCAAAATTTCATACTACTGATTGTCCATTAGTAGTGTGGTAGTTTGACAGAAGGTTTTCTTGTTTTCTGTCATCCATGTATGAAAATCTTCAATACCAACGTCAAGGCAGTTCTATTGTATGGAGCTGAAACTTGGAGAACTACAACAACCACTATCAAGAAGGTACAAGTATTTATAAATAGCTGCCTTCGCAAGATACTCAACATCCATTGGCCGGATACCATCAGCAACGGCCTTTTGTGGGAGAGAAAAAAATCAGCCTACAGCTGAAGAAGAAATTAGGAAAAGATGATGGAAATGGATAGGACATAGATTACGCAAATCGTCAAACTGCATCACGAGACAAGCCCTAACTTGGAATCCTGAAGGGAAACAGGAAAGAGGAAGACCTAAGAACACATTACGTCGGATAATAGAAGCAGATATGAAAAAGATGAATAACAACTGGAAGGAGCTGGAAAGGGTTGCCCAGGACAGGGTTGGATGGAGAATGCTGGTGAGCGGCCTATGCTCCTTCACGAGGAGTAACAGGCGTAAGTAAGTAAGTAAGTAAGTATGAAATTATAGTAATTATGATGGAGTTCTGTACTTGTTATCAAGGCCATTCAATGACCCATTGTATGGTTTTAGCTGACAAAGTATAAAAGTTGTTTACGGTTCATCAGTATTATTCAATTGCAACTGCTATCGTAGATTACATCATCAACTGGTTTTACCCAAGATCAATTTGTGACATAAAGTCTATGACAATTCTACATTCTCCACAAAACCACCCACTGATCATTTATTATTGTTTAAAAGAAAATTCTATGAGCAGAAATAGATTAGTCGCGATACTGAAAGGTCAGTCATTCTATAATAGATGATTTCATGGGTATATATTAATAACATGTCTCACACTAGGATAGAAAATCTATCTTGTAATTATCATTAAAGGGTTGTAGAGATTATTAAGTTTTTTGATTGAGATCATAAACCGATTGATGTTAGACCACTATTGGGAACCTAATAGTGCTGGACGGCCATTTCTTCTTGTTGTGGGACTCCTCAGCAGTGCGTATCTTAGATCGCGCTCACGGGATTCTCTGTTGTTCAACTGTACTTGAAATCACCCTTTTTCATGATGAATACTAATATTAATAATGGTAATAATAATAATCACAACCAAATGATAAAAGTGTATGTGAAGTTTGTTTAAATGAAATAAGGGAATAATAAAATGAATAGATGATTATATTATATTAAAGTGAATAAGGTGTGATATCTGACTGACATTACCATTTATAAGAATGAAATGAAATGAAAAACCTTCATGTAAAGATAATCATGATTACTGCTATGATTACATCGTCAATGAAAACCCCTGGTAGGCAATTGTGGGTACTTTAAAGATTTCACTGTACTACTACTACTACTACTACTACTACTACTACTACTACTACAACATAACACAACTACTACTACTACTACTACTACTACTGCTAATATTAATAGTACTACTACTACTACTACTACTACTACTACTACTACTACTACTACTACTACTACTACTACTACTACTACTACTACTACTACTACTACTACTACTACTACTACTACTACTACTACTACTACTACTACTACTACTACTACTACTACTACTACTACTACTACTACTACTACTACTACTACTACTACTACTACTACTACTACTACTACTACTACTACTACTACTACTACTACTACTACTACTACTACTACTACTACTACTACTACTACTACTACTACTACTACTACTACTACTACTACTACTACTACTACTACTACTACTACTACTACTACTACTACTACTACTACTACTACTACTACTACTACTACTACTACTACTACTACTACTACTACTACTACTACTACTACTACTACTACTACTACTACTACTACTACTACTACTACTACTACTACTACTACTACTACTACTACTACTACTACTACTACTACTACTACTACTACTACTACTACTACTACTACTACTACTACTACTACTACTACTACTACTACTACTACTACTACTACTACTACTACTACTACTACTACTACTACTACTACTACTACTACTACTACTACTACTACTACTACTAGTACTACTACTAGTACTACTACTAGTACTACTTGAAAGAAATGACGTATCTTCTTTTTTACTCACTTCTAATGGACCTCTTATGGCGAAGTTTTGATTTTTAGCGGTGATTATACAGATTACAATATCAATATGATTCTATATGTCATTAAATATATATACATACATAAATGTTTCTTTCTCAGTACATGTCAAGTGGTTGCTCAGTAAAAATTATCTGGAAATATTTATACTGTTTAAATGAAATTCAGTAGTTCAAATTTTTCACTTCAAAAAGTATCCATTCAATCAGGAGGGGATTTTGTGAAGATTTTAGTAATTTAGTACTTAAATTCATGACCATTTTCTTCCTTGTATGAGACTCCTCAGTAGTGAGTATCCACTATCCCGCACCTTGCGACTGAAATGTGTTTGGATATAACTATTGTTATGATTATAACAAAGTTTCATGTTTTGATCTGTTTGTTCAAGTTAGGAAATGAGAATAGTCAAAACTGTTTGATGAGTAAAGATGAAATGACACCTATCTAAACACTATAAATTGTTGATTCTGTAGATCGGCTTGGCTGAATTCACTATATCGACTTTTCTACGTAAATTTTTGTCTTATTCATCATGAGTTCTTAATGAGAATCATTGCCTCCATGGCAATGACTGACATCTAAAATGTTACGAAGCATAATTTAAGTTTGTTTCGACGTGTTGTATCTTTTCAGCTAGACTTATTTTATTCTTTTATTTAGATACTGAGAAGTCATGTGATGGTTCGAGTTGGTGGTGGCTGGGATACACTGAGTCATTTCTTATCAAAATACGATGAATGTCGTAAAGTTAATCCATGTAAGAATGCTTTCTATTCAGTTTTGAAGTTTTGCAAGGCTTTGCTAGTTTGATTGTTTCAAAACATTTCACATTTCGTATGTTATTAGATCATACTTTAACGATGTAGGGTTAGTAATAATAATTATATGTTTATAAATTGAGATTAGGGTGTTCTCTTTGCCTGAGTTTATGTCATCAATCCTACCGATAACAAAGTATGATAATGCTGCATGAGAAACTATGGTAACTTCGATTTTTTGACGACGGTCATTAGATTCGGTTCTCACTTATGTACTTACTTACGCCTGTTATCGCCAATGGAGCATAGGCCGCCGACCATCATTCTCCAACCAACTTTGTCCTTGGCCTTTCTTTCTACTTCTATCCAGTGTTGTCCTGTTTCTTCCTCCACTTTTGTTCTGTTTGCTCTCTGCCACATAGGTTGTTGCTGATAGTGTAGTGTCTGGCCAACGAATCCGAAGTATTTTGTATAGAAAACTGTCAACGAACACTTGTATGTTGTGGATGACGGTTTTCGTAGTTCTACAAGTTTCAGCCCCTATACAGTAGAACTATATTGACATTTGTATTGAAAATCGTGACTTTGGTGTAGATTGAAAGACAGTTGTTTTGAGTTCCAGATATTCTTCAATTTTGATATATACTGCTCTTGCTTTGCCTATCCTCGCATTCACATCTGTATCAGATCCACCGTGTTCAAGTTCTCAGGTATTGTATAATTCACTAAAAGATCAGAAAATCGTTAATAAAACTATATACAGGCATATATGAAGCAATAAAGATTGATTTATTTGTATCTTAATTAGTAGGACATTTGTGTCTTTTTAGTTAGTTGCTTCTTAAGAAGGTAAATCAGTATATGAATTCAGAGAGAAATTATCAACCAAAGGATCATTAAAAACTTCGGGGATACTAAATAGATAGTTACTTCTAGTTGGGGATTCATTAGACCTTACAATGGGATCAATCTCTAAATCACCATCTTTTCACGTTTCTCGAAGAGTATGTGTTCTATCTAGAGCTTCGTTTCTTATTGTACCACGTATAACTTGAACACTTGAACGTTAGAACCCTTCCAAGTGGTAATGAGAAGACAGAACACAAATGAAAGGAGTGTTATTCTAGACAGTGTCAAATTATAGTACAAAACTGTCAGGTATTTATAGTTTTTAGTAAAACTGAAATCATTATTATGGTTATCCAATTCGCACACAGGGGGTGATTAGCGTTTCTCCAATAAAGAAGCTACACATAGAAATTCTGGAATATTCTTCTAAAAGATAAGTGGATGAGATATCTTCGGTTCTTTCTGAAATTCTTAAACCATCTTCGAGTTTATCCGTGAATGGTCCTCACAATATGATAACTTTAGACTATTGAGCTGAACTCTTACAGTCTAGATTAATTAATTCAATCAAATCTCAGTAATATATATAGCAAGTAAAGAGATTTCTCATTATGAAGTAACATTAATTGAAGAGCTACTGAAACCTAACAAACACTGAATATGTATTTATGTTCTAGTTTAAGATTTCCAAGTGTGTCAGCCTATAACTATACACAGTATTATTTCTGCAGCAATTTCGAAGACCCTCCCGGTCTCCCACATTGTACGAGCATTCCATGTACCTAAATTAATGGTTTCTCTGGTTGTTAGAAGGGGCATCAGCCTCGTGACTTCCGAAGGAATTCGGCTTTCATCATGAGGCGTCATAACTCTTCTAATTGAAGATCTTCTAGATGCCAAAGCAGAGT